AGTGAAATATCATTCGGGTCCCCAATCCGGAATTTGATATATTTCAACAAAAATTACACTCGTTTCGCAGAAGCATTGACACAGTTTTAAATATAAATATTGATAATAATACAAAAAATAATTGATAACTTTTTCCTTTTTTTTAACACAGTTTATAGGGTTGTGTCTTTTGAGCATTTTGTATGTGTTTATTAATTGTGCAACGTAAATAAAATCATCGTAACTTACTTAAATCACAAAATATAACAGAAGGTAAACTCATGTATGTACCTCGCTTTGCATACCTCTCTCGCTCGCACGCTCGGCCGTCGCGCTAGGGTTGTCTTGTCATGTGTTGCGTTTATTTCGTTATGATAGAAAAATGTAACTCTTAATACTATCCAAGAAAGACAATAACAGATATCCACGTATACTTATTTATATTTAGTACGTTATTATAGTAATAGTTTGCAAACAAATACACGAGAAAGAAGTAGTATTTCGTTGAGTGGTTGACACTATTATCCAACTATTTATTTAATATTTTAATTTTAATATAATATTATAAATGCGAAAGTTTGGATGTCTGGATGTTTGTTGCTCTTTCACGCAAAAACTACTGAACGGATTTTGATGTAACTTTACAGTATTATTGTTTATAACCCTGAACAACATATAGGCTATAATTTATGACGATCTGTGACAAACTCAGAGGCGATTTTGTCAAAAATATTGACAAATCGCGAACTGTCACAGGAATAAAACTGACACGCGTCCGTACTCCGTAAGCGCCACCGCGCGACTGATTGAGATTGTCCAAGCCGTCATGGCCGATTTTTTCACATTTTTTCAACATAGTAACTAAATAAGACGCAATAACAAAACTTTGAAAAGTTGTCGACCTAGAAAATACAAAGTCCTATCTTTTAGTATATATTTTAAGTGTAAAATGTTAAAAATGAATATATGAGAGTAAAACAAAAAAGCCGTCGACGTACTTCTTTGTAATTTTTTTTTATCGGACAAACTATGCTGTATCGTGTTTTGGAAAAGTTGTCGCCCTAGTTAAAGAGATGAACTTACTCGTACAATTTTTTATTTGCTAAAATATCTTTTCATTTAGTAGCTATCTGCAAACAAAATTGGCCAAAAATCGACAATTTGGGAAATCATGGCCTTAACAGTGTGGCCGTGTGTACCATACTAGTTTACCAATTAAGATGTATTTTCATGATTCATAACATTTGTTTGTTAAATTATTATGGAGAGCGTGGATATTTTACTACAAATACTTATACACAAAGGACATGACACTATATGAGTTTTTTATCGAATGAGGGTTTTCGCGATTGAAAAATCCGCCAGATGGCAATACGTAGACGGGAGGTCCAAATGCTGCATGATTGGTGGATTTTGACATATCTGTCAATGTCATGTCAAAAATAACCAATCATGCAGCATTTGGACCTCGCGTCTACGTATTGCCATCTGGCGGATTTTTAAATCACGAAAACCCTCATTATCTTAATCTGTATCATTATCAGACTTGATTCACCCTGTATAGCATTCTCTTACCTTATTCTCATCCAGCAAAGTGTTCAGCATGGTCTCCACTATAGCCGGGTACAGTGTCTTGACCGCCTCGGTGACGTGGCGCGGCGTCAGCGCGAGTTGCTCCTGCATGGCGAGCACCACCGTCGTCAGGTCCAGCAGTATGGGTGATATCTTGTACTCTAAGATGGCATTTTGTTTGACTACCTCCTTGGCGAGAACGCCGTGGACTGTTATTCTGAAAAATATATTTATTATAAATACAAAGAAATTGACGCAATCGTACTATCTTTTTTGAAATGTCTATCAGCAAACAACAAGGTAAGTACAAAAATAATTTCGGTTTTTAGAGATGAGTTTCCGTATTAGCATTCACCAGTTGGTGCCACTGGAGTATGATAAGCTTATGAAAAGGCGTCGACCTGGTAATTGCGAAAGCGACAGTTCTCTTACCGCTTCAGCGCTAACCAATTGGTGTGTCATTGTCTTAGCCACACGTAAGTGACAGGACCATACTCGCCAGTAGCACCAAATGCTGAACGCAATTAAGGAAACCCTCATGATTTGTGTTCTCATTGTGGTTTTTTCATAATAATTAAAGACATTATTTTAATACAATTTTCAATCATAAATTATAATTAAGGTAGCACTTAGATTAAGTTCAAATACATTATAATTATTATTTTAGTGTATGTCTTGTTATAAATAAATAATGAAATTTTAAGGCGCAAATTGTCAGCTTTACCACAGGCTTTACTTACAAAATCTGTTTCCCCAAGTGTCCCCTCTCTGTGAATATCCTCATTAACTCCGAATCATCCGTCACGTTGAACAGCGCGTTCCAGTCGATGCGTCTTTTTTCCTTTGACTCCCGCTTTACCAGCGTGTCGGTGAAGTTCTGCAGGATCTCGAAGTCTTTGTCTATGGTGTAGAGCTGGTCGGACACGTCCTTGCCGAAAGTCTCTTGGACCACTATGGATGCCATGTTGTTTATCTGAAAGTGTTCGAAATAATTGCTATTACGGCTTAATTAAGCAAAGCTTCTATAGAGTCAGGACAATAATAAACCTAGTTAGGAATTTATATAACACTACAACATTTGCCTCCAGTAGGATTCAAACCCGCAACTATAAGTTTCACCATCAATCCCTAATTTTTAAGTGCCCCTTTAAAAAAAAAACCCTGTTATGTGTTACCATTGAGGTCATTTAAAAATTGGGGATTGAAGTTGAAAACGGGCATTACATTTGCCTCTAGTAGGTTTCAAACCCGCAACTACATATTACTAAGTTTAAGTCGTCGTGTTTATTGCGGAAGTATTCGTTTTGACTTTTGACTACAGCATCCCGACCCAAAAAAGTAGGCTTCACAACATAATTATCTTCATTTTACTGGATATTTTAATTTACAATGAAAACAAGTAAATAATAGGTACTTCACATAGGTAACTAAGGTTCAAATTATGCAGTTGCAACACATACTTAACATGCTACAAAAACTTGTTTTGCATCGAGCAGTGCAAAAAACGTGATCGACACATTGAAGTATTTTTGGCCGCGTCTAAATAAATAACATATGAATAGAGTGCAAATTCATATAAACGATTCTGCAAACTGCAAATAATACGCGGTGAAGGTTGTCTTTAGTGCCTAATGATTGCCTGCCACATGAGTGCATAACATTTCATTATTTGATAATGATGATGACTTCCTATAAACACACATTTGGGACTGGCAGAGCGTTTGTTACGTGGTATAATTTATTTTTATTTAATGTATAACGTGTTGAATAGGTGACGAATTTCTACCAGAACCTTTGAAGATTGTAACCGACCTTATTGAGAACCTGCTCCTTTTTGAAGTTGGTTAAAATGCCGTAACGTATGGTCATAGCAAAATAAAATAGGATCATTCACTCTCTTCTCATGGATGTAATAAAAAGCGTTTAAGAGGCACATATGCGGACCTCAGGCCTGCCGACCCATCTGGCCAGCATTGGAAGTGTCAACCAAATCCTTCATTTCATCATCATTATCATTTTAGCCATAGGACGCCCACAAAGGAAAACGCAGCGTGGGATGTCCACCCACAATTATTCGGGAGTATGGGTCCGAGCAGTTGCGTTGATTGTGACATCGCCGTTCTGAGTTTGGCGGGGTAGGCGCATCGGGCGCCTGATTCTGGAGGCTAGCGGGATCCGAAGCACAGTGCACCGCTGGCTGACCGCAGGAAGTTGGGGGCCCAAGTAGCTTGCCAGCCACACGTGAAAGGCTGCCCCGCCACCTAGCGAAAAATCCCAGGATGCTCCACCTTGCCGGTTGGCGACCGGACGGGAGGACCAGGTGGCCATCTCTGGGGGGGTTCGGGCGTCCCCGCGGTCTCCAGGTCAGGCTCTAAACGGTCTGTTAACCCCGTCTGCCTCTCCGGGCGTACATGAAAACGCCTCGCTCAACTGCCATACTCCCTCCACTTATTCACTCTCAATAAATAATAAAATGGTACACAGAACAAGGAAAAAAGTTAAACAGCGGTTGCACGTCCTCCCACTCAAAGTGCACCTCACCAACATACGAGGGCTGCACTCCAATCTCTCTGCAGTCCACCACCACCTTGAGACTGAAAAACCGCAGCTGCTGTTCCTCACAGAGACACAGATCAAATGTCCAGCTGACGCGGCGTACTTGCTCTACCCTGGGTACACATTGGAACATAAATTTCAAGCCCGGGCGGGAGTTTGCGTCTATGCTCGTGACGACATTTGCATTAAACGTCTCAAATGCCTGGAGGTTCCCGGATTCTCTGTGATTTGGGCTTTAGTCGACACGGGCCTGGAGAAATTACTCTATGCCTGTGTTTACCGTTCGCACAGCGGAGACCTTGAGACAACCCGGCTGTTCGACTACCTCAGCCAATCAGCTGATAAGGCACTAGCCCGATACCCTTCTGCGCAGTTAGTCATTTTGGGAGACTTCAATGCACACCACCAGGAATGGCTCTTTCCATACCAGGTGACCGACCATGCCGGGAGAGAGGCACGTAAACTTGCTCTGACANGTACTAAATACTGTGCAGTATTTAACTACCTAAATAATAATAAAAACAAAGAATGTACTTTTTTAAGTTGCCTCAAGACACTGAGAGGTAAATAAGTAGTTAATATTATTCATGATAATTCATGCTAAATCATGTATTTCTTCCGCCATTTTCCGCAGTTTGGCACCTCACGTCACATCACTTTACCGAAGTCAGCCCTATAGCTTCGGCGCAGTGCCGATCACTGACGTTTGTCAACAAAATGGTGCTTGACTCTTGAGACAGGCTAAATTACACCATATTGTTAATGACATTGAGCATACATTTTTTAAATACCTTCGCGAAGTAAAACTTCTGTACGTAGTACTTATTACTATTCTGTGGTTATACTGTATAGAGTGTTATAATAATATGTTTTGCTGTAAAGTGGTGTTATACCTTTCCCTGTTCTCCTGGTCCGCTTTAGCAGCTTCTTCTAACTGCTGCTGCAGCGTTCGCGCGGCGAGGCGGTCCTGCTCCTCCAGCCGAAGTCTCTCCGCTTCCTCCGCTTTGCGCCGCGCCTCCATCTCCGCTTTGCTGTAGGAGAGATATAAAGGTTGCAAGAGCAGCTATTTTTCGCAGAACAGTTTATGAGTCAGAACAACTTAATATGGTTTACGAATACGACTGAAATAGAGATTAAAAGTCGACTCAAATTGTTTTATTTTTTTCAGATTGTGATTTGTTGGAGCAACATTTGAACTAACTGAATGTAGATTTAGCTTAGGCGCACACCACCGATTTTTTGTCGGCCGATAGTTTAGTCGGGCAATTAATCAGTATGGGCATGTATGGAAGTGCGCACATTACACAGGCATCGGCGCAGTACCGATCACTGACGTATGTCAACAAAACGGTGCTCGACTCTTGAGACAGGCTAAATTACACTATACAGTGTGAGTCACGTTAAAGTGTACATATGAAAATAGATGAAACTAGACCTATTTTTATCGACAAAAAAGAGGTCAAAAAAATTTTGAGATTTTTTTTTATTTTTTAAATAATTTTTTTTCTTCCAATTACTTATTGTAAAGAAAACGTAATAACTTTTAAACTAAGCGGTCTATCCTGATTAAATAAAAACGGTAATAATGCTAAATAACAGGCAATACTAAAAAAATACATACAATACTCAAAAAATGCCAACAAGTAATAAAAAATGATACTTTTTGAAAAAAATCTGCTTAAAAATTCGTGTTTTTTTGGTTATTTGATAAATTTCTCCAAAAAATGCCCCTATAACAGGTGGTTTTTATTGTTGTGTATTATTCTCTATCGTATTACCTTTGTAAAACCAAAAATTGCATGTCTCTATCCCTATCACAACATTTGCTATGATAGTTTGAACAAAGGCCTACCACAACATTATTCTCCTCTACAGGTAGGGACAATTTTAATTTTAACTAAAATGCTTATTTTACTTCGAAATCTTTTGTTTCTACTTGAAATCTAACTTGTCTTTATCAAAATTACAAATCTAGAGCCATTTTCAGTTTCGTTGTTAACGAAGCGTTGAATGGCGCGCCCGGAGAGGCTTAGTTCAAACGATCATAGCAAATGTTGTGATAGGGATAGAGACATGCAATTTTTGGTTTTACAAAGGTAATACAATAGAGAATAATACAAAATAATAAAAACCACCTGTTATAGGGGCATTTTTCGGAGAAATTTATCAAATAACCAAAAAAACACGAATTTTTAAGCAGATTTTTTTCAAAAAGTATCATTTTTTATTATTTGTTGGCATTTTTTGTGTATTGTATGTATTTTTTTAGTATCGCCTGTTATTTAGCATTATTACTGTTTTTATTTTATCAGGATATACAGCTAACTTTAAAAGTTATTACGTTTTCTTTACAATAAGAAATTGGAAGAAAAAAAATTCTATAAAAAATTAAAAAAAAATTAAAAAAAAATTTTGACCACTTTTTTGTCGATAAAAATAGGTCTAGTTTCATCTATTTTCATATGTACACTTTAACGTGACTCACACTGTATTGTTAATGACATTGAGCATACATTTTTTTAAATACCGTCGCGAAGAAAACCTGTACGTAGTACTTATTATTATTCTGTGCTAATCTAATAGTTCCTAGTTTCAGAAATACCTAATTTAAAGTTTTGCTACACTACTCACAGCCTCCGGTTTTCTTCTTCTTGCCGAATGCGTTCCATCTCTAGCCGTTTGGCCTCTTCCGCCGCTCGCATCTCTGCTTCCATCTTACGCAGCCTTTCTTGTTCTTCCCTGTAAATAGATCGAGTGTGAACTTAGTACGAAACAAACTGAGCTGATTTTACAATTCAATATAACTCTTTCCACGGCAGTGAAAGCTATAGGATTCATAACAATAAAAGTTATACGTGTTTGGGTTACTGCCGCGGAAAGTGTTAATGATATTTCTTAGCTTGTGTGATCGCTATTGAATTGAAAGAGATTCAAAGCAATAGGCTAGATGACAAAATTTCCAATAGGCTAGATGACCAAATTTCAATTATTTGTCCGTCAGACAGATAATTAGAAAATATTAGACTCATATTTTTTATTTTCTTTCATAATTAAATAATAACAGTGCTACATCGAGTTGAAATGGCGCGACACGTCACGCTTGAGTAGATATTTTACTCAAAAGTGACGTCACGCGACATTTCAACTCAATATTATACTGTAATTATTCGTTTATGAAAAAAATTAAAAAATATGGCCAAATTTTTTTTTAAATCTGTCTGACGGACTAAATAGAATTTCGATTTCATTACCCAGTCATCATCCCTATTGAAATACCTTAAAATTAAATAGGAGATTGGACGGTAAAACCGAATTTCACAACGTTGTAGTAAGTACCTGTTCTTTTGGTCAACCATGGCCTTCTGCAACGAGGTCATCTGCATCTCGACGTCTTTGGTCAATTTGCTGTAGAGTTGGTCGATTTCTGCTCGGGTTATTTTCTCGTTGCCCTGAAATATATTTTTTTAAATAATACCTAAACTAATAAAGTCCCCTCTAGTCAGTGACTGATAGGTATTGGCACGTGAGGGTGACACGTCATAACGTGACGGAGCATACAAGTCTAAAGCACATCTCGCTGACGTTTGAAATCACAGAAACACCCTCTCGTGCCGCTAGACAAGTGGCACTTTTCGATCGAATCGAAAATAGAATCCGTTGTAACATACAAAAAAGGCTTCAGCTGTCCTACAACCGTGTCCATTTGCTTCAAGTTGTGGTGGAGTGATCTTGCCGATGGCCTTGTATCGCGGGATAACCTCAGATTCTTTTTTTATTTTTAGAACCATTGGCAAAGGCATAAAACATGGTAGGTAATCTTACATTGTTGGTGGCATAGGCATTTGTTTCAGGTTGTAGTGTAGTACAGTGATCTTCTCCTTGTTTAGATCTTGGTGACGCTTGCGCACGAGATTGCCCAGTGGCTTAGTAAAGTTTAAAACAAAAAACAATCAGTATTGTTTTTTTAACTTTATTAATTGCGTTGGCAAAGGCATAAAACATAAAATCTTACCTTGATAGTAGCACATGCGCTCTTGATGGAGTTCCTCAAGTTCTATGGCCTAGCCATGGATTGTTTTTTTTTTAATTTAAGAAAGCGTTTGCAAAGACATAAAATATAATAATCTTACCTTGATAGTGGCACACGCGCTCTTAATGGAGTTCCTCAAGTTCTATGGCCTAGCCATGGATTGTTTTTTTTTAATTAAGAAAGCGTTGGCAAAGGCATAAAACATAAAATCTTACCTTGATAGTAGCGCAAGCACTCTTGATAGAATTCCTCAAGTTCTCGATATTCTTCTGCGCGCTGTCTTTCTCCTTCTTCAGCTGTCCAACCACCGTGTCCATTTGCTTCAAGTTGTGGTGGAGAGCAGTAATCTTGGCGATGGCCTTGTATCGCGGGATAACCTCAGATTTTTTTTTATTTTTAGAACCATTGGCAAAGGCATAAAACATGGTAATCTTACATTGTTGGTGGCATAGGCATTTGTTTCAGGTTGTAGTGTAGTACAGTGATCTTCTCCTTGTTTACATTAGATTGTTTTTTTTTTAATTTAAGAAAGCGTTGGCAAAGGCATAAAATATAAAATCTTACCTTTATAGTGGCACACGCGCTCTTAATGGAGTTCCTCAAGTTCTATGGCCTAGCCATGGATTGTTTTTTTTTTAATTTAAGAAAGCGTTGGCAAGGGCATAAAATATAAAATCTTACCTTGATAGTAGCACACGCGCTCTTGATAGAATTCCTCAAGTTCTCGATATTCTTCTGTGCGCTGTCTTTCTCTTTCTTCAGCTGTCCAACCACCGTGTCCATTTGCTTCAAGTTGTGGTGGAGAGCAGTAATCTTGGCGATGGCCTTGTATCTTGGCTGGTGGCGTTTGCGCACGAGATATCCACGGATCGTCTTCTGGACTTTGATGAGGCACTCGCGACGGTAGAGGATCTTGTTCTTCACTGTAATTATTTGTATTAATTTAATGGTGATGTCAGCAAACTGCCTACATCTATACTAATATTATAAAGAGGAAAGATTTGTACCTATTTTTGTATGTTTGTAATGAATAGGCTCAAAAACCACTGAACGGATTTTGATGAAACTTTACAGTATTATTGTTCATAATCCAGAATAACATATAGGCTATAATTTATGATGACAAACGAAATTTCACGCGTGCGAAGCCGCGGGCGGAAAAATAGTATTTCATAAAGAGCTTGTTGAATTCAGTATGATAATTGACGTCTATGTGTTCAATAACCGCCGCTCGACTATTGTAGTGAACCTACTCGTAACACAAGCAAAAAAAAAGTGGCACGTAGTAACAATTGGAACAACTTAAAATGCCATCTGCCAAGTTTGTTTCAACGCCTACTTCTTAGCTCTGATTATTCTTGTTTTATAAAGAGTCATTTCATGTCTTGTTTTCGTGTGAACGGCACTTTATCAAATAATGCAAACTACATCTATACTTCTATACCTACTAATATTATAAATACGAAAGTAACTCTGTCTGTCTGTCGGTCTGTCTGTCTGTCTGTCTGTCTGTCTCTCTTTCACGTCTAAACCACTGAACCGATTTTGATGAAATTTGGCATAGAGATAGTTTGAGTCCCGGGAAAGGACATAGGATAGTTTTTATCCCGGTTTTTGAAACAGGGACGCGCGCGATAAAGTTTTTCTGTGACAGACAAAATTCCACACGGGCGAAGCCGCGGGCGGAAAGCTAGTAGACAATAAAGCTTGAAGCGATGGTTCCCAAAAGATAAGGTAATGATGTAAAAATTTGTTATGTATTACATATTTCAATATAATGCAATAATGTAAACTAAAATGCATAATAATGTAAACTGCAGCTGCGAAATGTAGAATAAACTCGTTAAATCACTTACATTTAACAATAGACAGCACAGCGAATATGGAGCGTCTCCAGCGCGACTTGACCAGCCAGGCCAGGACCGAGTCCACGACCGCCTTGAGGTTCTCCGGGTCGGACTTCATGATGGCGTCGAACTCGGAATACTTGCCGGGCCGGAAGAACACGCGCGTCACGCCGAACTTGAAGTCCTTGTCCGAGAGACCGAAGCTGTGGATCATGGCCTGCGGAAAAGAATAGGTATAATACAGTGTGAGTCACGTTAAAGTGTACATATGAAAATAGATGAAACTAGACCTATTTTTATCGACAAAAAAGAGGTCAAAAAATTTTTGCGATTTTTTTTAAAATTTTTTATATATTTTTTTTCTTCCAAAATAACAGGCGATACTAAAAAAATACATAAAATACACAAAAAATGCCAACAAAGAATAAAAAATTATACTTTTTGAAAAAAATCTGCTTTTAAATTCGCGTTTTTTTGGTTGTTTGATAAATTTCTCCAACACTGTATAAGACCTCGCAGACTACAGATTTTTAACGCTGCCACGAAATTCCGATCGACCAGCAGATCAAGCGCCGCAAGTGGAACTGGATTGGCCACACTCTCCGAAGGGATCCCGATCACATCCCCAAGCAGGCTCTGGATTGGAACCCCCAAGGAAAACACAAACGTGGTCGCCCCAAGCAAACTTGGCGGTGCACTGTGGCAGACGAGGCGAAGAAGATCGGACCTGGAGCGAGATCAAGCGCGAAGCTCAAGACCGAACGCGATGGAGGACTGTTGTGGACGCCCTCTGCCCCATCTAGGGGACATACAGACTTTTAGTCGGCCGATAGATATCATTATCAGGTCACTACTAGGGCTTCATCCCTGTGTTCATCCATCCATCCATCCCTTCATCAGGGCGTGTTCCATCAGCTCTAGAACAGCTGTATTGCCGCTGCATAGCAGCTATGTAAGTATCTTCTTCTTTCTTCTTTTCAGCCAAATGACGTCCACTGCTGGACAAAGGCCTCGCCCAAGGTTTTCCACAATGAACGGTCCTGCGCTGCCCGCATCCAGGCTCTTCCCGCGACCTTTACCAGATCGTAAATCTTTACGATCTGGTATGTAAGTATCATATCAAACATAAGACTACTGACCTCACAGAACAACTTCGGCGACAATCCCCTCAGTTTCGGCGGCAAGTATGAACTGTACATAGCGTGTAGGTCGTTGAAGGGTGCTCTAGATGGATAGCCATGCTCCATCAGCTCTAGAACAGCGGTAGTACCGCTGCAATACAGCTATATGAGTATACAAGAGATATTAAAGCCTACTAACCTCACAGAACAACTTCGGCGACAATCCCCTCAGTTTCGGCGGCAAGTATGAACTGTACATAGCGTGTAGGTCGTTGAAGGGTGCTCTAGATGGATAGCCATGCTCCATCAGCTCTAGTACGGCGGTAGTACCGCTGCATTGCAGCTGGGTAAGGATGAGCGAGCCTTCGGTCTCGCGGCCCACCATACGGGAGTTGGGTTTGATGCAGCGGACGAAGTTTGTGCCCTGGAGAATCAAATATAATAATTTGTTATAATTCTGACTTATATTACCTTACTTATTTTCTTGAACCCTACATTGAGATACGTTTTGAAGGATTCAAGATAACCTTTGTTCCACATGTTACATATTGGTAACATGGAGCAATAAATAATTTGAATTTGATACCAAGTGAAACATTAAAAATAAAGTCACCAATGGATATCTCTATTATAATTTTCGTACAGTGCAATAATGAAAATTATAGTTAAAACGTTGCTTGGTCCAAATATAATTTTCATCCAATGGAATGAGTTACAAAAACACCGGTTAATTTACACACTTAAGAGTTTTGTATAGAGATACTAAACCGATAACGTCAGTTTCCGTTTTTTTCTATTTACTGATTAATCATCAAAGTAAATCATTAAAAAGATACATCATCTCGTTGTTAGCTTATAAGATCTGAGACTTACATTTTCCTTGAGCTTATCCATAAGCAGCGCCAGTTGACTTTGGAACTTAGCACCCACGGATATAAAGTTCAGTTTTCCCTTTGCGTTGTTGTTGTCAGTGTTTTGGAACAGCTGTTGGATGAGCGTACTCCTGGATTCTTGGACCAGAAACTCGAGCGATGCGTGGAGAGCGTCATTGTTCTTCTCTATGAATTGACTCTGAAAAATAACAAATAACGTTATCAAATCAAGTCATTTTAGGCCCAGAACACACGGTGAAATGCAATTGTAACGAAACTGCAACTTCTGGTTACTTTTGAGTTGCATCTAAGTTTCTACCACATATTCCGTTGAGAGACCACACATGACGCGACCAGTTTGAAACCGGTTTGAAATGGTCGCGTCATGTGTGGTCTTTTTTCTATTATATGATATTCACTTTTCTATTATATGAATGTTGGTATTTGGTACTAGATTTTTACAATTCAATTCAAGTTCAACTAATTTATTCAGTACATAGGCCCTTTCCAGGGCACTTATACACGTCTCAAATATAGCTTGACCACTTCGGGACAACATATGGGCTGTTGCTGAGAAGAAGTGGCGGAAGAAACTCAGTCACCTTTGTCAGCCTCTTTTTCAACAATATTTAGGATATCAATCAAAGATAGACGACTATAGGTGCTTAAAAAGAAAGAAAGAAGAGTCAGTTTTCCAAACAAAAGTAAGCATTACAAAATAATTACTAGTGACCGACCGAATATTCGTTTTCGGCCATTTTCGGCCAAAAAATGGTCATTCGGCCATATTTTCGTTTTCGGCCAAAAACCAGCCGAAGCTTCGGCCAAACCGAATATCAGAAATACGTGAATAAGATGGTGACGTTTATCGTTCCGATATCTTCGGGAGTGAATCTGGTGCACTCTTGGTTCCAATCAGACTTGAACGGACGCGGTATTGTCACACTCTTTTGAAGTTGTGAAGTAAGGTTACGTTGTAAAGGGTGTCCAGAGATAATTTTCCAAGTTCAAAATAGAATACAAATAAAACCAAAGCGTTTTCATTAAGTTTAATTGTTTCAAAATAGAGTCTTATGCGGATTTGAAATACGCCATGAGTCACTGGTCGGGAGCCTACAGAGCGTTCGCAGTTGAACAATAAGTATTTGAAATGTATTGTCAAATGATTGATGAATGTCTGATACCACAACTGCATCCCGGTCAACTACGTAGCTCTATTTCAGCAAGAAGGTGTCTCACCACACACGGAGAGTACCTCGATGGAGACACTGAAGACTATTTTTTTTTTTCAAATAAATGATCAGCAAGTACAGGGACATACCCTAGCTGCTTCGGTCACCAGATCTCACACCATGCGACTTTTTCTTGTGGGGATATCTCAAGTCAAATGTTTACAGCAAAGAATCTTTAAATAATTCAGGTTCTGTAAGAAAATATCCGCCGTGAAGTTGCAGGAAAATTATTAGCGCGATTTGCTCTCGCATAGTTGCCTATAGTAAAACGGGCATCATTTAAAAGACATTGCCTATAAAAAATTAAATCCGCATTGTTAAACTCCAGTTTGCATTAGTAATAAATAATAAAAAATCATTAATTTATTTGTATTTATTTTTGAAGTTGAAAAATTCCCACTGGACACCCTTTATTTCTTCTTCACTTCCCAATATTTCATTATACACCGGAAAATATATTCTACTAAGAATTCATAATTTTTTTTTTGTGTTTTAATGCCGGTTTTCTTTAATCAATCCTTATCAAAATCAACTGTCAAACGTCATTATGTTTTTGGTCAAAACATTAAAGGTTTTAAAAGTTTTCACATAATTTCAGATTGAAATTTGAGAGTTGAAGGTCATTTTCGTTTTCGTTTTCGGCCGAAAATGAGACTGCAGCCGAAGCTTTGTTTTCGTTTCCGTTTTCGGTTGAAAATCCATATTCGGTCGGACACTAATAATTACAGGAGGAAAAATGTTAAATAAAAGATTTTAAACTTCCATTTCAACTAAAATAGTAAGACACCGTTGGTCACAAGCAGTCAAGTGAGTCTGCTTGTGACCACGGCTGCAGCATCGCAGCCGAAACGTCAAGCCGTGAGTGCATAATGTAACTCATTAATAATCGTCGCGTTAAGACCCGTGTCTTACTGTTTTAGTCAAAAACGTTAAAATAAAACGATTAGGTATGGTAATAAAACAATAGTTATCAAACTTTACCGTAGTATAGCAGACGGCGCCGGCAAAATGTCTGAGCAGGAAGCCTTCGTCGTCACGCAGAATGCGGTGTGCCTTCAGGCGCGATGTGCGGGGAAGTTGCAGCCTACACACAGTAAAATGATACATTTATACAGGGTGTTAGGTAAATGGGTATATGAGCCGACACTAGCCCATGTTAACATGGGCATATAAATGGTATGGTGAAGTCAGAAAATTGATATCTTCATTTTAATCATTTTAATTTTCATACAAATCAGATATTTTAATTTTTTTTTGTATGAAAATTAAATAAATTAAAATGATGATATCAATTTCACCCTGTAGAAGTTCAATACCCAGGCTGCTAAAATTAATATAAATGGACCTTTTTACACCTTGACGTTTAGTTCTAAGCTATGAAAAACTTATACAGTCCGCGTCAAATATTTCGTGAACTTCGTGACACCCAAAGTGGCCAAATGTTGACAACACAGCCTTATTCCAACTGTAACAAAGACGAGTTGCGAACTTTTTGGCTACTTTGGGTGTCACGAACTATTTGACGCCGACTGTATACATACAAAATCAAAATCAAAAATATTTATTCAATTTAGACCACAAGTGGCACTTATGAACGTCAAAATATAGTAAATAAAAAAAAAGGTAGTCCTTATGGGGCACTCAATATGTCTCCTTATCTTTTGGGACGGATTATATGGAACAACAACCCAAATAGTGACTGTAGTGTTAGTAACAAGAATAATACCTGTTATTGTTGGTTCCCAGTTGTTTGTGAACCGAGTGAGTGAAGTGTCCAAACTCAGGTTTCGGCAGTTTCGATTCTTCGTCCAGCAAGTGGAAAACGCCGTGGTTCTTGCTTTCGATCAAATCTGTTAGGAAATATTATACAACTTTATTGTATAATCTGTATTACATAAGTTACATAACTTTCAGGTAAACGCAAAATTTTGGGTATGTGGTTTTAGGGGATTCTGCCGAATAAGTGTGATCTGCGTAAGATATATACCTACTCATCGAGTTGGGGATTATTTCTGCAATAAATATACCCGAGAAACGATATAATTTCTCGTGAGAAAAGTTTTTTCAGTTAAATAGAAGCTGTGTGGTTCAGACAGAGTAAAATAGGTCGCGAGAAAAAGAAAGAGTGGGCTCATACCATGTAGATGAGCAATATGCGAAAGTCACCCCGTATGATCAGCATAGGGAGTTTAGGCCAATGAAATTGGAGGGGGCCGTGTTCCTTCAATGAAGAATATGACCAGATAATGATGAAAGAAGGTGATGTGAAAATCATTGGGGGAGTCCTTGGACGTCCTGTAGCTGAAATGATGATAATGATGAAACGTGGCTTACCAATACAGTCCTGGTTGTCCACAAAGCGAATTTCTGGCACATTTAAACCCTCGCGGCGGTAGAGGTCCTGTTCGTTCTTGAGGATGCGCTCGTTGAAGAACTGCTGCAGCTTCTCGTTGCAGTAGTTGATACAGAACTGCTCGAAGCTGTTCATTTGGAAGTACTCTGCGGAAGGTTACAGTTAATGGACTAAAATACTTAGGTGCTTGTACATAAAGTTCAATTTAATTTAAAAAAATAAGCTCAATATTTCTTAGACTGGGGCGACAAATAGTCGTAGGCCCAGAACACACAGTGAAACGAGAGACACATGAGAGAGTTTGAAACCGGTTTGAAATGGTCGCGTCATGTGTGGTCTCTCAACGGAATCTATGGCAGAAACTTAGATGCAACTCAAAAGTAACTAGAAGTTGCAGTTTCGTTGCAATTGCGTTTCACCGTGTGTCCTGGGCCTTAGTGGTGACGGTATCGGACTGCCAATTAGAGCAACGTCAGTTCAACCTCCTTCAACGGCTTGACTATCGTGGTGAACCCTCTTCTAAAACAAGCCAAGCATATTGTTTAGCTTGATTGGAGGTGTTAACAGGCTTGTTTGTAATTTATGCAGTTGTCGTTAGAACTGATTTAACGTGCGCACATCTTATTGTTCCCCTGCGTTCTAAAATGGTTAACCAATATTTCTAATCTAAACGATAAAGTAATAAGGCTCACATTAAAAAAACTAGGCTAACATTAGTAGGCTTACCAAACCCAGCAATATCCAGTACACCGATATAGTACGCAGACGCCTGGAAGGGAATACTGGTGTTGATGCGATGCACGATGTAGTCAAACAGACGGCTGTATACCGCTTTGGCGAGCGCGTCACGAGCGTTATTCGCTTCGTACGTCTTTAGCGGCACCCTGCGATTAAGAAGATACCTTGATAGCTTGTCTATTTTGAATTTGTAGAAAGAAGCATGGAGTAGATGACTCCACTAATCAAACAACAATTATTTATGCTGGTATTTCCTAATGAAACTAGGAAATGGCATATCATTCATAATTCTGAGTCACTATTGATATTAGTAACATCATTAAAATAGATAAAGAAGACTGAAGATTCTAGGGACAGTACTCAGTGACTCTTAAAACTGTATATTCTAGCCCATATTACCAAGAAAGATATCACAACTTACATGATAACAGTTTCTTTGATGCCTCCCCTCGAGCTATGCATAAGTCTGGACACCAGAGCCATCCTTAGTGCCCCTCCATCTACTCTTACCAGAGATGCTGCATCTCAAAGTCGCTTCTGATACTGATCAGACCCCACTAAAAGACACTACTCACATGATAGCAGTTCCTTTGATGCCTCCTCTGGAACTCTGCATAAGTCTGGACACCAGAGCCATCCTTAATTCCCCTCCATCTACTCCTAGCAGAGACGCAGCAGTGGTCAGAGCCGCATTTGATTCAGTTAATAAGGCACAAAGACACAACTTACATGATAGCAGTTCCTTTGATTCCTCCTCTGGAACTCTGCATAAGTCTGGACACCAGAGCCATCCTTAATTCTCCTCCATCTACCCCCAGTAACGAGGCAGCAGTGGCCAAAGCCTTTTCTGAAGCTGGTCAGAAGCACAGATACCACTTACATGATAGCAGTTCCTTTGATTCCTCCCCTGGAATTCTGCATAAGTCTGGACACCAGAGCCATCCTTAATTCTCCTCCATCTACCCCCCAGTAATGAAGCAGCAATGGCCAAAGCCGCTTCTGATTTAGACCCCACTAAAAGACACTACTTACATGATAGCAGTTCCCTTGATGCCTCCTCTGGAACTCTGCATAAGTCTGGACACCAGAGCCATCCTTAATTCTCCTCCATCTACCCCTAGTAATGAGGCAGCAGTGGCCAAAGCCTTTTCTGAAGCTGGTCAGAAGCACAGATACCACTTACATGATAGCAGTTCCTTTGATTCCTCCCCTGGAACTCTGCATAAGTCTGGACACCAGAGCCATCCTTAATTCTCCTCCATCTACCCCCAGTAACGAGGCAGCAGTGGCCAAAGCCTTTTCTGAAGCAGGCGAGACCCCGCATCCACCCCTAGGTCCTGTGTCCTCTTCGAACTCAATGTTGCCAAGATGGAGGACGGCAGCTACTATCGAGTAGACAGTCTTCTTTTCGTCTTCTGTTAGACCGACGCGGGTTAGTGCCTAATAGAAAAAAAAGATTGATTTAACTCATGTTACTGAAACAGTAAATACTAGGTGCGAAGTTTCTGTCGCATTGACGATGAGGTTCCGAATTTTGCGTCAGAAAAGTTTGGAATACAACTGGACTTTGAACATAAATCAAGGGAAAATGCAGGCAGCGCTGGACCGGTCACGTGGAAACCCGCGGGTTCCATATCCAATCGTTCATTTATTAAGTAAGCTCCCAAAGAGCACTTTTACACGTCCTAATCCTACCACTGTTTGGGAACAGTAATATGGGCCAGGATTGAGAAGAAACTGCAAGAAATTTGGTTAGCAGTGAGTTGAGAAAGAACATTAAAAATAAGTGAATACTTGATGTGAAGGGATGTTAAAACCAAGCTGTAATTTTCTTTAGGAAGCAAATAATCGATTGTACCTGGTGCAGTCTCTGGAAGTCTTCGACGTCATCCAGTATGGGGTCCCGAAGGCCACCCTTAGCGGTCTGCTGCTTGGACTTCTGGCTCGCGGTGATTTTCTTCTCCGACGCTGCCGTCGTGAAGTATTGAGTGCATCCATTCTTCAGGTACTGTCAATTTAAAATGTTTTTGCAATTAGTATAGGTACCTAGGTTACTGCGAGACCTAAGGATTGTTATGCTAGCAGCTTATCCTTAAAATCCCCTTTGGTGCAGACAGTGGCGTAGCTAGCATAGGTGGCACCCGGGGCGGATTTTATAGGTGTCACCCTAAAAATCAATCGAAACCGCACCGTGCAGATGGCTGGGCACTTCTAGGCTGGATAGTAAAAATAGCATAGTTTGGTTCTAGCTTCATTCCATCTTTTCCCAAAAACAAGGTCCCAGCTTAGCTGGACAGCTGTTTAAGGCTTCGTAGCACGCACGTACTATCGCCAACAGTGTTAACTGCCCATTGAAAGTCATGTCATCTCGTTCTATCGCAAAGGCTTCCCTCACCGGGGGCCACGGCATATGCTGAGTGGGGTCCCATTGCGATGGGCATCGCTGTGCGACAGGGTGGCACTGCTTAGTCTACTTGCTCATTCATTGTATGTTTTATAATATCACCTCTGTCTTATTTGCTTTTTTTTTATTTTACCTCTTTTGTCTTTTGTGATGTCCATGGCAATAAATGTTTCTTTCTTTCTTTCAAAGAATCGCCATTTGATTAGAGCGAGAGCAAAAACGGAAATGGATAGTTAACAGTGTGAGCGTGTGTACAGCAAGTAAAGCATTTATGTCAAGATTTTGAGGAATTTTTATCCTTCTTGCAAAGATACTAAGACACATTATATCCTGGACCCAGGCCCAGGAATTAAAGTGTTGTGGGATTTCTAACCTTCTTCTAAAGACATTAACATTCATATATCCTAAACCCACCTGGTAGTCATCCGGCTTAGTGATATTCAAAGCTGATCTCAGCTCTGGCGGTGCGCCGGCGCACAGCAAGTAAAACACATGGTAGTTCCTCTCCTCAGCGCTCTGCGTACAAATACGCGACTTCTCCAGAAGGTAGTGCGAGATGTGACCACCCACGACTTGGTATTTATTGCTGAAGTGGACCTCCATGAACTTGCCGAATCGGGAACTGTTGTTGTTCCGAGTGGTTTTCGCGTTACCGAACGCTTCGAGGATCGGGTTGGCTGTGGAGATTGATTTCAAAGTTATTGAAGGTTGCTATGGCTATACTAGCTAGTTGCATGAAATAGGTTTTGCTTATAATTTTGATCGTGGCTAATATGGTTATAGTGGTGGCCCAATCTCTCTAATTCGACCAAAGGAATGTATTTTTTTTTTAATTTGAAAACAATACCATGGTTTTAGGTAGATGCAGTGTAGAAAAGTGTGATTTTGTGTTTGCAATTTTTACTAACCAATATTGGGAATAGTTCTACATATAACCACGATATTCAGTGTGGACGTTATAGCTACCTGCATATTAAGTCATGTCAGAAAATATCGGAAAAATATACCATTATTATTTTATCTATATACTTATAATAAATCTGTAGAGAGGTCAATTCTGTACATGAAATATATTTTCAAAATAACTATCAGGGGGTGATTAGTGATCGATACTGATGCCAAAAATGCAATCAGTAAAATTTTTGTCTGTCTGTCTGTCTGTCGGTCTGTCTGTCTGTCTGTCTGTCTGTATGTTCCTTATAGAAACAAAAACTACTTGACGGATTTTAACGAAACTTTGTACAATTATTCTTCATACTCCTGGGCAGGTTATAGGATACTTAGAAATTCCCACGGGAACGGGCATTAGCGGGAAAATCCTTTTGTATGAAAAATCTAAACCGCTTAAGTTAGACGCTTGAAATTTGGCATGTAGGTACTTTATTAAACTTAGAGCTTAGTTACAACAAGGAATTCCCGAAATTCTCACGGAAACGGGAACAAGAGGGAAAATCCTTTTGTATGAAAAATCTAAGCCGCTTAAGTTAGACGCTTGAAATTTAGCAAGCAGGTACCTTAGTAAACTTAAAGCTTAGTTATAACAGAATATTGCAAAATTCCTACGGGAACGGGAGTTAGCGGGAAAAAACATTTGTATGAAAAAATCTAACCCACTTAAGATAGACGCTTGAAATTTGGCATGCAGGTACCTTAGTAAACTTAAAGCTTAGTTACAACAGGATATTGCGAAATTCCAACGGGAACGGGAGTTAGCGGGAAAAAAAACATTAGTATGAAAAAATCTAAACCGCGTAAGATAGATGAAGGGGGTAAAACGGGTTCCACGCGTACGAAGTCGCGGGCGGCCGCTAGTTTCTAATAAATTATTATAACCTTTGACTAGATGGAAGCAATGAAACATACACTTTTCCTCTGACGTAGCACGAGTACAGTTAATTAATCAAATTGACCTTGCCAGCTTATGTTTCTGCTGGTTCATTCACATACTTGTTTTTTGTACTTACTACGATTAAGTATATCTAGATAAGCAAACAATAGTAACAATTAACTGTAAGAAGAATAAAATAATGCAGGTTAAAAATACATTTCGAGCAAAAATTAACATAGTTATTTGTTTGTTACCGACCAATAATCACATGCATGATTATTTTGTGATTATGATCTTATCCTAACCTATCCTACATCATTATTATTTCTGGAAAAGTGTTATCTATAACAGTTTATTAACAATGACATCATTGATATTTATTATTATGTACCAAGTAATCTTTATAGCGGTTTTACCTAATATGACAGCATATTTTAAGTAACATGAAACAGTAGTCAGCCTTGGCAACATAACATTCTGTCTAGTTGCTGTAGACGAGTCTTGTTATTATCAATATTATTTTAGAACAGATAAGTAATGATTTAATAATTAATCAATTGTATTTTTAAGAAAGGAACAGTTCATTGTGTCCTTTACGGTATTCTAGTAGATCCTAAGGTGCCAGCATCACCAAAACGGCCTAACGTGCCTAAAGCGTGGAATCAGCGGGGTTCCTCCAAAAACGTTTTCCAAAGTTTCGAATGTTGCCATCCCTCTCACGCAAAGCCAGATTCCAGCATGAGTCATGGTGACATAGCTCAAAACTACGTAAACAACGTTCTGAGTATCCTTGCAGTTTCTTTTTCCGACTCATAAAAAACTCATATTTTTGCAAGTAGGTTTTAAAAAGCACTTGTACACGTCTCAGTATTTATCCTACCATTGCTACGGGTCAATAAATGGGCCAGTTCTGACACTTATTTAAGCCTGCAATATTCCCTAGTGTATCTAAGACTTATTTAACTCACCATCTAGAATCTTTTGCTCCACCGGCCCGGCGCCCTTAGCCCAAAGGTCACACAGGTATTTCAGTATGTACTTAGTGGACTCAGTCTTGCCGGCACCAGACTCCCCTGATACTATAATCGACTGGGACTGCTTGAAAGACTTCATGTCACGGAACGCTTTGTCGGCTGCGGAAAAATAACAAAATTATTGTTAATTAATAAAGTAGATTATATGTAGTTTATTCGTTGATAAATACGGACGTTACTTTTAAATCAGTTGCTAAATAATTGTCTTCGTTTATGTTACACGAAAAATAGAATTTAATATTGATATATCGGTTTAATTTGTGTCTGTCATTGACACCAGTATTAATATTATAGTCGTTGCAATTCAGGCTAGTGTGTTTTACATGTGTGGTGGCTCGCTACTGTTAGTTTTTTCAAAAGTTGTGATAGACATTACACTATAATCGTTATGTGCATGTACACGTGCACACACAAGTAAAGCTCACTCGCCTTCGTGAGTTGCAAGAACTATAATGCACATATTACAGGTCAAGCTCATAACTCAGTTTGTGCCTGAGGTATGGAAGCGGCACGGGAGGTTTTTGTGGCGTCAAACGTCAGCAAGACTTCAGTGATGTGCTTCAGGCTTGTATGCTCGAGAGGTGACATTTATGTGCCGCTTCCATACCTAGACACTGATTCAGTCATGCATTATTTATTAGACTTGTAGGTACACATCACAAATCAAATACAAGTTTTGTTTAATCTGAATCTAAAGCTTAATAAAAACAGAGAAGAAAATTTAATAAAGATTTTAAACTTTCGCGTTCCATTTCAACTAAAATAGTAAGACATGATGCAGCCTGCTTGTGACCACGGCTGCAACATCGCAGCCGAAACGTTAAGCCGTGAGTACATGATGTAACTCATTAATAAACGTCGCGTTAAGACCCGTGTCTTACTATTTTACTGGAAATGTAATAGAAGGTTGATAAATACCTATGGCAAAGACATGTGGTGGTAGTTCTCCCAAGGACCTGCCCTGGTATTTCTTGATCGTGGTGGAAGAATACATGTCGGGTATATCTTCGTACGGGTTCACGGCTAGAAGGATATTTGCCACGTATGTCTGTAACAAATTATAATACATGCATTTAATTAAATATAAGTGCTGATTTAGTCGGCCGTTTGGTGTAGTGGTTCGGAACGGACTACTATTCCGAGAGGTCCCGGGTTCGATTCTCGGCCGGGCAGAAATTGAAATGCTATGTATAATAAGTATGTATTTACAAAAAAAAGTATTTAAGTATGTTTATATTCGTTGTCTAGTACCCATAATACAAGCTTTGCTTAGTTTGGGATTAGAAGCGTAGTGTATATGGGAGAGAGGCACGTAAACTAGCTCTGACACTTGATCTCTCCCAATTGATAGACTGTGCAACCAGGGTCCCGGACGTCGACACTCACACAGCCAATTGCCTAGACCTTGTGCTGACATCAGATCCAGACAGATATTCCACCATGGTTGCTGCTCCTCTTGGAACTTCTGACCACTGCCTGGTGAAAGCTGTATCGTCATACTCCCCATCCGATCGTGGCCCTTGTGGAGTAAGAAGAGTATGGCGATACAAGTCAGCAGATTGGGACGAGATGCGCCAGTTTTTCGCATCTTTTCCTTGGAGGCCGGCTTGCTTTTCTTCTCAAGATCCAACGATTTGCGCCGATGCCATCACTGAGGTTATACGTCAGGGTATGGAATTCTTTGTTCCCTACTCAGACATTGCCTCAGGTAGCAAAGCTCGCCCTTGGTTCAATGCTGATTGCCGTCATGCTGAAGCGTGTAGGCAGTCGGCGTTTCTGGCATGGGCAGATGCTCGAACGCGCGGCTCACCAGACACTCGCAATCTGAAGAAAGCCTACAACCAGGCCTCCAAGTCTTGCAAAAGAACACTACGCAGGGCTCGCTACGACCATATTGGACGCATTGGCTCAAAACTTGCTTCTTACCCAGCCGGGTCTAAACCATTTTGGTCCCTTGCCAAGGCCATCCAATCCAACTTCTGTCGCCCCAGCCTGCCACCACTGCTGAAACCCGACGGCTCACTGGCTCACTCTGCTGAGGAAAAGGCGAATCTTTTTGCCACCCTGTTCGCTGATAACTCCCGTCTTGACGTTGCAGGCAAAATACCACCCTCATTACCCCCTGCCTCCACCACCATGCGTGAGGTCCGCATACGGCACAAAGAGGTTTTAAATGTCTTACGTTCTCTTGACGTAAATAAAGCTAGTGGACCTGACGGAATTCCAGCGATAGTCCTGCGTAGTTGTGCGCCGGAGTTGTCTCCTATTCTTACACGCCTGTATCGACTCTCACTTAAGACTGGACTAGTCCCAAAATCATGGAAGCTTGCCAACGTACAGCCCGTACCTAAAAAGGGCAGTCGTGCTGATCCAACAAATTACAGACCCATCTCTGTTACGTCTATACTCTGCAAGATAATGGAACGTGTCCTCAATGGCCGACTCCTGTCATACCTTGAAGAAAATGACCTACTCAGCGACCGTCAGTATGGGTTTCGGTATGGTCGTTCTACAGGTGATCTTCTCGTGTATGCCACACACCTATGGAGCGAGGCCATTGAGAAACATGGAGAAGCTCTTGCCGTTTCATTAGACGTATCAAAGGCATTTGACAGAGTCTGGCACGGCAGCCTACTAAACAAGCTTCCATCTTTTGGAATCCCTGTTGGCTTCTGCAAATGGATCTCCGATTTTCTTGAGGGACGATCAATAAGAGTAGTTCTTGAGGGCTACACTTCTAGTCAACAACCTATTGACGCTGGCGTCCCTCAGGGTTCGGTGCTGTCTGCAACACTATTCCTACTGCACATCAATGACCTGCTCAAACCCGGTACCTTTGGGTACGCAGATGACACGACAGTGACAGCCAAATATATATCCAACGCAAAAGCCGACAGGCGTGAGGTCGAGTCTTGTCGTGAGTCCCTAATTGAACGCTTAAATTTGGCCCTTCAGGATGTCTCTGATTGGGGCGATGCCAACCTGGTCCAATTTAACGCGTCAAAAACACAGGCGTGTCTGTTCTCCGCCAAACGAAGTCCATTTCTTATGGCTCCAACATTCCGAGGTGTGCCTGTCAAAATCACCGAGCGACTGCAACTCTTGGGCATTGAAATGTCCAGCAAGCTGAACTTTGGCGAGTACATCGAATCCATAGCGAAAACTGCTGCCAAAAAGCTTGGTATCCTCTCGAGGGCAAGGCAGTACTTCTCCAAGAAGCAAAGGCTGCAGCTTTATAAAGCACAGATCCGACCTTGCATGGAATACTGCTGCCACCTCTGGGACGGCTCTGCCAAGAAACATTTGGCTGCTTTGGATTCGGTGGAAAGGCGTGCCAGAAGACTTATCGACAGCCCTACCCTTGTTGAAGCGGCGCTCCAGGAACTTGACCATCGCCGTAAGGTAGCATCCCTATCGGTTTTCTACAGGCTACACTTCGGAGAATGTGCGAAAGAATTACATGAATTAATTCCACCAGCCCCCTTCCATCATCGGGGAACCAGACGCAGGTTAGCGTACCATCCCTATATTGTTGACATTCCACCAGCTCGCACTAAGCGTTTCGATGACTCTTTTATAATGCGAACAGCTAGGGACTGGAATTCGTTGCCTGCTGCTGTCTTTCCCGAAAACTATAATCCGGGCCTTTTCAAGGCGAGAGTGAATAGGCACTTACAGGGCAGATATGTACCATCCTAGACCGCATCCCACTAAACATCAGGTGCGATTGTGGTCAAATACCTGCCTTGTTATGCATAAAAAAAAAAAAAATATGTCCAGGGATATTTATTTAACTGTCTGAATTTGATCTCTCTTATTTTGTCATTTAGAAAAAAAACTTCGGTATACCTATAAGAAATACATGAAGAGTTACTAGTTAACAACACCTAGTATTGAAGGTTTTGTAACGGTTTAAATTATGTAATCAAATTGGTGTAATTTTTGATGATAGATGAAATTCACATTGATAAGTGAAAGGTTTTATTATTTTGTACATGCATGAATGAATAACTGTGCTATTATTGTGTTTGTTAATTAATAAACTGTGTAACAATAATTTGTAATTTATGTATCCTTTTCAAGAGTGCATCGAAATATAGACCTTTCTCAATGTATTTGAAGTTGAACAATTATTTAAGGCTAAGTTTACGCGCATTGCTACAAAACACCGCAGTCTACTGTAAAATTGACTACTCGTCTCTGTCACTCACATTTATGATAGTACGAGTGAGCGAGATAATTAGAAATGATATCGAAATGGTTTTGAAGGGTATACCTCTGCAGTACGTAAGGTGTGCTAATTTTATGGCCTTCCACTCAATCAGAAGCGACCTTCGTAGTGCTTCGAATACCCGTATAGCAAATAATTTTACTTGGGTAATAAATATATGAATCGAAAATGTTACTAAATTAAATTACACACATACGCATATTTATTTTTAGATTATGGAATGTCATAAAAGTGTTTTATGCCCTAATTAATTAAACTGGCTTAAAATAACGCCTCTGACAATTTGACATAACACACATTATTCGTTTATGTTGTTAGTTAACATAAAGTTAGTGTTCCGAATGCACATGTGTATAATATTATACCTACAATATTTATACTAATGCGCAATCAAATAAGTAGGTGTTATCTGCGCACGGTGCAGGCGAATAACTTCAAGGTGAAAAACTTGGACGTTAAGTATGCACACAGTCTAAATAGACCAGCTAGCAAACTAATTTGATTGCTATCTAAATTTATGACACTATACGGGTTATACTTATTGTTTTTAGAAAGGATATCATAGCCACCAGCAACAATATCTTCGTGTACAAGGAAGATGAGGCCAATAGAATTTGATAAGCGTATTTCATGGATTTTTTTTGGTATACTTTAATGACAGGTCACTAATGCCCAGAGATTTGCACGCTTAATAAAATCAAAAAATACTTTTATCTACTTCTTTAGACTTATTAAATTAGCTCTCACAAATAGTTGAATCGTATCGTACTCCGATGTCTCATTTATTCTGCATGCTGATGTGAGTCAGTGATTAAAATTGTGACGCAAAAATACATACAAAAAGGCTATTGTTTCTAGCAATATTACATGAAGACATTAGGTATTTAAATACAATCGAGTGAAACAGTAAATAAATAACAATGGGACTGATTATAAAACTACTTTGCCACACTCGAATAACGAACGTCACTGCATCTTATCAAGGTGTCCTCGTATCAAACGCTACCAGCTACGTCATACACTCAGCCTTACGTGGCTGTTCTATCCACGCTGTGTATTTACCAGCGCAATATGAGTCACGGTGCAATCGATTGTTTCACTTACATAAATCTTGTTCTTCTTGTATCGTGTTAGGATGTTGTTCAGCAGCGTGGCCTCGTTCAGAAACATCAGCTCGCCTGAAAAGAGCACGTTCGTGTCAATGATTGGTATGGTCTAAATGGATTGCAATAGCAGGTAAATTACATAAAATTGGTTGTTACGAAATCTAAGAAGTTAAATATGATTTACCGGTAGAATGATGCAGAAAGAACGGGGTGTTTTGACATACTGTTTTCTTCAGTAATTAAGATAAAGTGACTAATAGACAATTTAGGATTCGTTCGATTTATAATTAAATGTTTGTTGCAAAAAAATGGAAATGTGTCTTTAGCCATTTCAGCTCAACAAGGGAATCAACTTATAGGCTATCGAAACCACAAACATTTGTAGTGCATCGGGAAGACGGTGCCTTCAGTCCTATCAGCTCTAAAAGGGAACCAAATCTATATCCTTGTTCTCCTGCTTGTTGTCTAACAAGAAGTCGAAACCTTTAGCTTTAGCCTTATCCTCTGAACAAAGACGTCAGAGCAATCAACTTACTTGTCCTTAGCAGGAACATACTTGTCCAGCGGGAAGAAATATTCTTATTCTCTGAACAGCTCTATTCCCTGAAGAAAGAGACTTTAGAGGCAGCTACTTACAGTTATCGTCCACATCCTTGTGCGGGTCCCCCGCCGGGAATATGTCCTCGAAGCTGCAGACCCGGCGCGGGTACTTGTTATCCAGCGGGAAGACGTAGTCTTACCCTTACAACAAAGGACCTTTAGAGGAAGCATTGCTTTAGAGGGAGCTTCTTACAGTCATTGTCCAGTCTATATCATTGTGCGGGTCTCCCGCCGAGAATATGTCCTCGAACCTGAAGATGGAGCTTTAGCCTTATCCTCGGAACAAAGGAATTCTGATCTGAATCCTCTGATTCTGAACAGCCCTCTGAAGAAAGAGACTTTAGAGGGAGCTACTTACAGTTATCGTCCACATCCTTGTGCGGGTCCCCGGCCGGGAAGATGTCCTCGAAGCTGCAGACCCGGCGCGGGTACTTGTTGTCCAGCGGGAACACGTCCACCTCCTCGCCCATCAGCTCGTGCAGGCGGGCGAGGTTATTGCCAACGAGGAGACGTGTCCTATTATATAGTCCTATCGCTCTTCGTAAAAAGCACTTACAGTTATCGTACATTCAACATCCTTGGGCGGGTCTCTCGCCGGGAATATGTCTTCGAGGGTGCAGACCCGGCGCGGAATCTTTTTGGCCATCGGGAAGACGTAGTCTTGCCCTTTCAACAAAGGACCTTTAGAGGAAGCATTGCTTTAGAAGGAGCTACTTACAGTCATTGTCTAGTCTACATCCTTGTGCGGGTCTCAAGCCGAGAATATGTCCTCGAACCTGAATATGGAGCCTTTAACTTTAGCCTTATCATCGGAACAAAGGAATTTTCGGCTATTTAAGGAAAGAAGGGAACCAACTCACATTTATCGTCCACATTCTTGTGCGGGTCCCCCGCCGACAATATGTCCTCGAACCTGAAGATGGAGTCTTTAGCTTTAGCCTTATCCTCGGAACAAAGGAATTCTGATCTGAATCCTCTGATTCTGAACAGCCCTCTGAAGAAAGAGACTTTAGAGGCAGCTACTTACAGTTATCGTCCACATCCTTGTGAGGGTCTCCCGCCGGGAATATGTCCTCGAAGCTGCAGACCCGGCGCGGGTACTTGTTGTCCAGCGGGAACACGTCCGCCTCCTCGCCCATCAGCTCGTGCAAGACGGACGAGTACGAATCCCTCGTTCGGTTACTAATAGTTGTAGTCGACATCTCACTTACTTGTTGTCCATAGGGAAGACGGTGCCTTCAGTCCTATCAGCTCAGCAAGTATTTATAGTGTTATCGTCCCTATCCTTATTCTCCCGATTGTTTACCAGCAAGAACAACAAGGACCCTATAGTCCTTTCCTTTGCTCAACAAAAACACTTTGGATGAATCAACTTACAGTTATCGTCCACATCTTTGTGCGGGTCCCCCGCCGGGAAGATGTCCTCGAAGCTGCAGACCCGGCGCGGGTACTTGTTGTCCAGCGGGAACACGTCCGCCTCCTCGCCCATCAGCTCGTGTAGGCGGGCGAGCACGAACCCCTCGTTCGGGTCCCGGACCCATACCAGCTGCTTGTCGATCGTCATTGTTCACTGGAACAAGAATGTTAAGGTTAAGAATTTTCGGAAAGTAAACACCACGCCGTCAGTTCTGCGTACTATGTGCCCTGCCCATTGCCACTCCAGCTTGCTAATCTGTCGGGCTATGTCAGCGACTTTAGTTCGTTTACGGATCTCCTCTTTCTGATTCGATCTCGTAAAGAAACCATAGCACGCTGACGACATCATAAAGGTAGCAAGGAAGCGCTGGACGCAGGCCGCTACCAACCGGGCAATATGGAAAGCATTGGGGGAGGCCTATGTTCAGCAGTGGACGTCCTATGGCTGGGGTGATGATGATGATGATCATTATCATAACCACAGGAGTGGGGGTGGCCTGGCCAGTGTGGGGATTGACGAGTTTAGGCCAGATCCGTCATTTATCTCTGCTTTTGATCGTGCTCCAGCAGTAAAGACTAAAAGTACCTTTTATTAATCTCTGAGCAGTTTCAAATAAAACTAAATCTCACTGTCACTTTTTATGAACGTGTTTCGGTTAAATCTTTCGGTTTCAAAGGCTTCGTGCTAAGACGATATTAATTTGTGAAGATAACAAACAGTAATTAGATTAAGTTATTTGATACCTACACCGCGCTTGATGTTTTTATTTATGTAATTATAGTAATTAACAACGCAATTAAGAAGAAACGCCTTTCATGTATTACGAGTAATTTATTAACGTTATTATTATGTTGTTAAATGTCGGTAATACATTAATGGATTCATTTGAAATAACAAACCAGACGCTTCTTAATAACAAATAAACGTGCAATATGTAATAACCAAGCCATATGTTGCCACACTCACTTCGGAGGCACTCAACCGATCGAGGCTGTGACTCACTGTCGCTTAGGACAAGTTCATAAAATAATTATAGACGCTTTAGAGACACAAAGGAAACGGCTCTGTCGGGTGTAAAGCTGTAAATACATAAATACGAACGTTTCATTTTAATCAGGAATGAAATCAATGCATTTAATAACGCTACGTTCTTCTCAGAATGATGGACAGGCATATGGTGCTTATGGCTCACGCTCTGCATACACAAGTAACAACATCTTAATTACAAACAGATCACGATTGCACTCCCATGATAATCGCAATATAAATAAACCCGACGTCTCGAATACAAAGGAAGAAGGAAACGCACGTGAGCATAACATTCAGTCCAATAAGCACAATAATAAAGTTATATCATAAGTTGTAACAATACAGTTACACTTGATACGATAGAATATGATTAACTCACTTTCGTGACGAGCAAGCATAATATAGCGCGTGACGCAATGGCTCGAGATAAAAACAGTGGTCATGCACGGAGTGGTCACGGTAGACGGCTGGCGGAAGCAAAAAATGGAAAGAGTCGTACTGCACATAACAGCCAACATGAGCTTTTAGCAGCAGTTATGGCAAATGGTTACGACCTTAACGAGGCAAACGTACAAGCTTGCTTTTTCTGCACACTCATTTCAAATTATGATTCTTGAGACTTTCAAACGGATGATTTATCAAATAAAAGGGAAAGTCAAAACTACAGCTGATAAGTTCAACATGATAAAAGAAGAAAAACAAAGTAACACTTGAACAGGATAATTTTCAAGAATTTTCCACGAACTCTAAAACAAAGATTATGGTCACGGCGACAAAGTTAATCGGTGAAAGTCCCGCCGAAATAAAAACACTTATCAAAAGTGTCGTAATAGATAAATTGGCTACAAAACTATTGTCACGTACCGTAACGACTTTTTTATGACAGGACAGATTATTGCGGTAACCGCGCAGGTTACGATTTTGTGAATTTTAATTGCCAGTTGCAACGAAAACGAAATTGAAGGTAATGCTGTTTACGAAACGCGGCGTTACAATTAGTGTAATTAATAATAATCCGAAACGGATATTAAATAACTATGTAGCGCAAATGAATGAATGAAAAATATTGGTACAAAATAATGTTGCGAATATTTCTTTTCGTAAAACCTGTTTCGCAAGTCTGCGACGCGACAGGAAAATCGCATGGAAGCAAAAATGTATGAATAAACAATGTAAAACTAGCGTAAATAAACGTACAGAAATTATAGAGATCAGCGAGAGGAAACCAGTGAGCAAACGAAAGCGTACGATTTCGACTAAATTACCATGGGACTATACAGTCGTGAACAATTTCATCGACGGAAAAGAAAAACTACACTTCGCTACGCCCCGTTTGCAATAAGAAAGTCCAAAAATGTGAAAGATTGATAAGCGTTTAAGATTTTATTACATAGGAAATGGCTACTTTAAACTTCTCTGTAGACATTCACTTTTATTAAGAAATCAAATTGTTGTATTTTGAAGCAAAAGTTTTTGTGCACTTCAATTTAAACGTTAGCAGAGATGCTGGTTGACGATCAAAATGACATTGTAGCATTAAGTGACAGATTTTTAGATGAAATGAATAAGTAATTGGATTTGAAAATAATCTATTGACCTACTTCCTTACTTCTAATCCCCGAATAGTTGAACGATCGACGGAAACCTATCAACGGAATAACATTTACTATGACCCAAATAGGAGCAGTAATCTTATATATAGTAGAAATGAACAATCATGGGTGCAATTTGTAGCAGTCTTGACGATGAATGAAATCAAACAGAAGTGCAGTGGACGGATGCAATAATTGTGAAATTGCGCTTCACCCAGCGAAGACGATGTCCATGGGAGAGTTGTTTAGAATTTTTTGCTCGTTCACAACCATCATTATGATCATTTTCTAGTTTTAAAAGACAAAGACAGCTACTGCTCTTTGACACTGCATTGATAAAGCTGATTTCACAATATGATTATAATTCTCATTCGAAATCGTGGGTATAGAAAAAGTAGAAACTCAGTTTAAAATTAATGATAGTGACGTACAGAATTTCCTATTCATTCAGAATGCCCGAGAAAATTTATTGTTACTATTCATTCAGGTGATTTTGATTAATGTACCATTTGCAAAGCTGAAATCTCGATTCAGAATGATAATTAATTTTAATGATTATAACGCCACTATGAAGGTCGAAGCGTATTGTATCACGCGACATTTCCTCGAAGCTGTACAAGTTGACGAAGCTGGTGATGTGTCGACGAATGGTTTGTACCTAATTGTTCCCAACAATGACCCGATTACAATATTCGTGGGATCAGAGCAGACGTTGCGTGATGAACTGATGAATGCACGCATTGCCGCTTGCAATTAGCGAGCGTTTATCTCGCCCGACTTGTTACATATAAATCCGGTATCCTTCCGTTTGGCCAAATTACTTTTCGCCAAATTTCACTTCGCAAACAACTTATCGCAAAAGTTTCATTTCCCAAATGAACTTTTAGCAACTGTACTTTTCGCAACTAATTCATTTGGTCAAATTATCATTTGGTAAAATTTTACTTGGCAAATGTTTATATAGCAAATGTTTTATTTTGCCAAGTATTATATCCCAAATAATTTGTTTGGTCAAATTGACACTTCACATACTTACCCACCGATACCCACAAATCAAAGCATAAGGCACATGATCATGGTTTTTACAAGAATTTTATGTAAAACAAAGAGAGTGCAGAAAATAGTATGGTTGCAAAAAATAGGTATTGCAGAAAATAGTAGGTTAGGTTAGGTTAGAACAGTGACCCTATGCGCGAAGGCGTCTTTCCATTCTATACATANGCAGTCAGCTTTTCTGGCATGGGCTGATGCTCGAACGCGCGGCTCACCAGAAACTCGCAACCTGAAGAAAGCCTATAACCAAGCCTCCAAGTCTTGCAAAAAAGCGTTACGCAGGGCTCGCTACGACCATATTGGACGCATTGGCACCAAACTTGCTTCATACCCAGCCGGGTCCAAAGCGTTTTGGTCCCTTGCCAAGGCCATCCAATCCAACTTCTGTCGCCCCAGCCTGCCACCACTGCTGAAACCTGATGGCTC